TTTGCTCGCAATTCATCTGCGCTTTGATGTGAATCCCATTTGAATTCAATTCCGTGTTTTGACTATTTTTTACTAGTCTTATATAATATGTGTGTTCACTACTAATCACTGAATAATAATAATAATAATTTTTATTATTTTAAATCGTATTATTATTTTGTGTTTTAATTTTTAAAAATAACTTTTTTGTGTATCTGTTATTAATTACAATATTTTTGGTATCAGTTTTTATTTCAAAAGACTGTGTTTTTAATATAATGTGTGTTTTAAAGTTAAAAAACTGATTGTTTAGATCCAAAGGTTTTTTTTACTGATTCTCACATTATATTCATATCTGATATACTGTTATATAAAATATATTTTTGTCAAAAATATGATTTCATATTACAAGTGATTCCACATTAATATGAAGGCATAGTATAAAAGACATTTGATATTAAAAATAAATAATATCTTAATATATCGGTGAAAATGAGATCATATATGGAGACAGATGTGTCTGAAGAGACCACCAATACTACCACTAAATTGATAATAATGTTGAGGACATCGGAGACGACGGCAATCAGAGCCCAGAGTAGAGACAGACATACGTTTGAATACAATGTGATTCATATCATTATATTTAACTTAAATCCCGTCGACTTTTTTATGAGAGGCTTTTGGCGTTCAATACCGGCTATGAATAGCATTATTCTTAACGTATGTATACATTGAGAGAGTGAGTGGTGTGTACTGTATATGTAGTGAAAGGGAAAGTGTATTTGTGGCCAACTTTCTTGACTTTTATCTTGTATTTGTATGTTTCATATCAAGCATATCATGAAAATTGACTTTTTTCATTATCATTGCTATTATGACTATTTTCAGCGCAAAATTCTCTGCAATTTGTTTTGATATTTGGTTTTGTGGTTAAGAAAAACTGCTTATTATTCAGTGATTCTTATGATTTCTGTCTTTCCAATGACTAACAAATTTTTCTTACTTATTCGTCGGATAATTACTTTTATTATTAATTTTATTAATACTAATGAAACTTATTTTGTAAAAAATATTTGATGTCTTAACACATAGATACTTATCGGCAATAAAAATAACAATTAATTACTTATTTAAATGAATATTTAAATATTGCAAATAAATCCGATTCTTTGACTGAAAAATTTATGCCAAGTAATGACAGATTTCAAGAATTAATTCCTACCAATAATACACACAATGTTTTGTTATTTCAGTGATATTTTATATATTGATATCAATTCAGTACATCTATTGTTACGATATGTTTCTGTGATATCTTTACTCCTAATTGAAGGTCAAGTTTAACCACTCAAACAGATATTTATTTTTTGCTAATTCTGTGCCGTATTTCTAACTCATGTAAAACACGAGTTTTTATAGTTATTTTGTTATAAAACTTTCAGTTATTTATGTATTGAAATATTTTTGTTGCGATAAATACAACCCTTTGGCTCCGGAATATCTATTTAAATATGTGTGCATTTAATGCAAAGTTATTTATTATGAATATTGTTAAATATTTTGTATCCAAACGTGAGATGCAATCGCTGTGATATTTAAGATATTTTGATATTTTTTGCAAATATACCGAAACAAGAAACTACTGGCGAAGAAATGAGAGTTTTTGTAAAACAATCATAAATTATCGCTTTATTATTATTAATATATGGAAATCAAATCCTAATATTTATTGTCTTTTAGTTTTATTTATTTTTTCAAAAGTTTTTAAAGAATTCTAGTCTAATATCTATAGAGAATAAAAATATAAACTATTTTCAAAACTTATATCTAAATAAATATTCATTGCATTTGATTTTGTTTTTCAGTGCATTTCATGTAACAAAAAACGGAAAGCAAAGTCGAGTCCCAAAAGTCGTGTTCACTATCTGTCGGTCAATTCTCCGTCTCCACAGTTGACGGCCTCGTCGTCCAACTCCTCCACCTCTTCGTCGTCTTCATCGCCGCCGACCAACTCGTCGTCGGTCTCCTCTACGCCATCGCTACCGATGGCGCCCAACGAGAGCTCAGTAGTGGTAACACATCAGCCGTCGGCTCCCAGTCCTGGACTCGTGCTGTTCAACAGCGAAGAGCAGTCGGATATAGTGTTTCTGGTGGGCGAAGACGAGGCCAACATTTGGCGATTCCCCGCGCATTCGTTTATCGTTGAAAACGCCAGTCCTATCTTCAAAGCCATCGTCGACAGCACCGACCGGTCATCCGCT